TCATCACCTTAGACGAAATAAAGCGAATACATCTCATGTGACTGATTTACTGGTAGTCTCGAGACTCTACTCTAATACGAAAATAGTATAAGATAAGTTTGATGATTGGCGTGGTCCGTGAAGTAAAGGCTTCACCATGACATTTACTTGGTGCACATGCCGATTAATGATAAGAGAATCTGTGGCGTCAAGTTTGGTTTCCATGCTGCTTGAGAATCCAAATGGCTCATTGAGGCTGGCGTATACGTGTCATCAAATACTTGCGGCAGACTGTAGAACATAACGCCTCGAGTAGCACGGACTAGGTGGCAACGATCAAGGGAAATTGCTGAACCAGGGAGATATGAGAAAGTTCCCACAGAGTCAGATGGAGATTGATAGGACCTGGAGGAAGAGGATTGCGGACTAAACGGCCGCTTTAGCTCATTACTCCAAGCACAGTGGGGGGGGGGATGAGAATACTTGTGGGGAGTGTGAACTGGTTTAACTAAATCTGCTCAAAAGGGCACACCTCAACAAGATATATATAAGATGTATTCACCCAGTTTCGTTTAAGGTGATGAAGGACTGGTGGAAGAAGAATTTTCCCACAATGATATGAATAGAGCTGACGTTTCCATTGAATTTCATATAACCTTGCTTTCCCAAAAGTTGTTCTCATCAAGGCACCAGTGGACTGCAGTTTCGACCTCGCATCGGTCTTATCAACACCCTCAGCGGGAGTCGAACTGTGAGAGTGCAGTATGGGAGCTTGACACATTAACCACTCGGACACATTACCACAAGGGCTTTTGGGTCACAGGGCAAATGTGAATTTTATGAAAGGCCAGACCTTTTGCCATATCATATTCTTTGGTGGGATTGTCGATGAAGCAAACTTATATTTGCTATAAAAATCGACTACATTACATTATTTTTCGCATTTAAGTATTCTTTTGAGACTACCAGTAAATCAGCAATATGAGATGTATTCACCCAGTTTCGTTTAAGGTGATAAAGGAATGGTAGGAGAAGTCCTTCATTACTTTAAACGAAACTGGGTGAATACATCTCATATTACTGATTTACTGGTAGTCTCGAAACGATACTTAAATGCGAAAAGTAGATATATATATAAGCAAGTAAGAAATTGTGATATTGAAATGGCTGATACGAGTATATGGGATAGATGTATAGCCCATGACAGAAGGAGAGATACCACAACTATTTAGCAGACAATTGGTCAAAAGATCGACTTCATTTGCCTCTTTGACGGGTTGTGGTGAGGTTCAAAGACTGACATGGCTCACTGACGATGCCGACTACGATGCTGGCGAAACATCTGAGAATATACCAGGTCTACAGTCTGATTATGAACATTAACATGCATACTATATACTCCGGACTAGGTGTTTTCCTCTACGACTTCCTGCCAATCTGAACAAATTGTGAAGATAAGGCCAAACAACTTCTACACAACGAAAGAGGCCATGACTATAATAAAGCTCACGCCATTTGGTCGTTATACCTGCGATTAAACTATCAAGTGAATTTTATTCGTAATACATGTGGATTGGTGTCGTATTAATCGCGATCTGTATCAATTTTTTTATTAGATATTGTTTTTAGCCTCACTACTAATATGCTTAGCAGTAGAACAGTAATTAGGAGATCATTTTATCTCTTTTTTTATGTCATTTGATCCACCACTATTCGTCGTCGAATTGGTGTAAAGATTTCCAACATTTGGCTGATGGGTTAAATTTCGCTCTAAAAGTGAACACTTTCCCACCAGTTCGCCTAGTCTTTTAGACTATAAGCACAAATGGGAAGTCATAAAATAAAAAAAATTCTCTATTGCTTCATTAATTCACAAATCTTCTTCATCGAATTGATACTCCCTTATTCACCTGATACCAATTTAAATCAAGTCTGGTGGACAAGTATATCCGGATGTCAGGAGGAATCCTCTATCGCCTTGTGTTGGGATCGACTTACGTAACTCTTGGTAATATACTCAATCTATGTTCATTCTACTGCCTGCAGATCATCAATAAATGCATAAAAAACTGGGTGTCCAGGCGTGTACCTTCATCTGAAGCCTCCAGTTTTAGTGTGTCTACTTGCCCGTGTCACTGTATGTACATTGTCTGTCTGCTATTCTTGCAAATAACATGCTTAAGAAGGGCTTTTATTGTTCATCCACATTGGAAATGTCTATATCTGTCGTCTCCATGTCATGGACAATCAACACATCTGGGACTGGTGTAGGGCTATTGCACTGCTCAAGCATCCTTCGTCTCATCTCTACAGGCCCATTCGATGCCTCGCATTCCCCAGTTTATGCCCCCTTTTGCCTGCTTTATTGCCGACTTGGATGCATAAGTTGGTCGTGAAATTTCCCATTCCGTTTAGCCTTAATGCACTGCGATATGCCGACTGGGATGGCAAAGTCGGTTTACGACTTCGAGCCAGTAAAATTTTATGCAAAGAGGGCAAAAAATAATCAGGTTAGGCCAGTGTACTGACGCCTACAGACAAAGACATGACGGCAGAAGCGTGCACATTCGCATAGCCAAGCTTTGGATGGTCTCTAAACTGGGCTCTGAAGGTGTCTGTGCTCCCCGGTTATATGCATACTCCAACCGAGACGAGAAACTGGACTCTGTCCGGCGGACAACCTGTCAACTTTAAGTAGATTAGCCTTTACGACGCTATCAAGCCAGTGTAGCCGTCACAGCGAAGCAAGCCGAAAGACGTACCGGGCCACCCATTCCGCTGGCATATCCGCTCTCAACATCCCACACGCCCCTCTATCGGCTGGACTCATAGTGGCCCAGGCAACCGAGACTTGGCCTTAAACAGGAAGAAAAAAGAGAAATCGGCTTACATTGACTAGGCGAGAGACAAACTTAATTAGCCGGAATTGAAAGGACTTGCCCGTCCATTGACGAGGGTATCTCAATAATATTATCTTCGACGGCCCGCCTTCTATGGTGCTGACGCTGCGGAACTAGGAGGGAGGACATAACGAAGACTGTTTGCATCAAGACATACACACACACACGCACACACATTTATAGACTCACACAGAGGTGCAGCAATGACCTGAGCCTCGATGACCAGCATAAGCCATGGCAACAGGACCTGTGAGATGATGCGATCAGAATGGAGGAGGTGGAGAGGACAGACGAAGAGGAGGAGATGCTGTGTATGTACTGGCCCAGGTTACCCAGTACTTTCTGCAGATTTAGTAAACAACATGGCGACGAGAGGATGAACCTTTTACAATCCTGCTGAATCTGGGTCAGTGGCTTGATGAATTTTTGAGCCCCACCGACTCTGGCCCGGTACAGCGTTGACGATAACGTAGAGCTGAGCTTTTGGTGGGGATAAACTAACCGCTACAGAATTATGTGGTACCTCCCCTCTTATTCTGACTCTCCATTGCCTTTGTTTATAAATATTACACTATACAGCCCATACATAAATACATAACATATATTTGCGCGTCTGTGTCTGTATGTGTCTGTGAATTGTGCATGTGTGCATGCACGTGTGTTTCCTTGTATGCCTATGCGCATACGTGTTTATATCTGCATGTGTATGTGTTGGGGTGTATATGAAGAAAATTGGCACTTGAGCAAAAAATAGACTGGTTGCCTTGAGCACGGGACTGGGCTCATTAAGTATTTAGAAGAGGAGCAGCGATTTGTCCGAGATCATCTCCTAAAGCAGTCTTTTGTCACATCCTCTATCTTTGCCCACCCACCTACTCCCCGAAAAGGCCCGTCGAAACCCTCAATTGCCTGACCCTTCGAGGATGGTTGGACAAGATGGTGGTATCTCGTGACTAAAATGGAGCGGATTCTTTTATTACTGGATCCTTTTTTGTCCGGCCAGTTAGTCTGGCCATCACTGGTGCTGAGTCATACCCTAAGTAGTATATGTCTCGAGCTAGGAAACCGCGAGTAATAGCATTTCTCAAGTCGCCCTTGAAATTGACGTGAGTACCCACTGAGCAGGTCAGATTTTTACAATCATCAACCACCTGAAGTGGAAGGAAATCAACACCAAAATGAGAATGTATCGAGTTTATTTCCAAACGCTTAGCTTATAGAGACGTATAGCAAGAAGGTGTCCCCTTTTGCCATATAAATTTGGCTTATATTTCTTGTGAGTATGCGATTTGAGATCTTGTTGTTAAAGTGACTTTCATTTCTTTTTCGAATAAAGTATAGTTTTCGTGACTACCAGAAAATCAGTAATATGAGATGTATTCACCCAATTTCGTTTAAGGTGATGAAGGACTGGTATAAGAAGAATTTTCACAATGATATGAGTTGAGCTAACGTTTCCATTGAATTTCACATACATCTCATATTACTGATTTACTGGAAGTCACAGAAACAATACTCAATTAGAAAAATAAAAGTATAGTAGTCGATTGTTATAGCAGATATACGTTCGCTTCATCGACAACTCCAACAAAAGAATGTGATATGGCAAAAAGGCCTGGCCTTACTTGAAATTTACATCTGTCCTGTGACCCAAGGGCACTCGTTGCAATGTATTCGAGGGAAATGGAAGAGAATAAGTCCTTAACTTTTCTGGATGTTCTCATCATTAGAGAAGATGATAAGTTAAGATGAGATGTTTATAGAAAGATAAGATATTTTGGCTCTGCTTAATTTTCGTTCCAACCATAGTCACAAGACTAAGGTTGGAATTTTGAAGTCAATGATTCTTAGAAGTATGAGGCTAGCGGATAGCAAACATTTGACTAAAAAGTTGCAGCGGCTGACAAATACATTTCTGGGAAATAACTATTCTTTGGGCCTAATTGAAAATAACACCTCTCTAGTGAGGAATACATTTTTAGACGGAGACCAACGGAGACAAACTGAGACATTTTCCCATGCCCTAATTTTGCCTTCATGCCTTCTCTCAAAAAAG